AAAGCTAGCAGGAGAAATCCTGGCTCACCTGAAATTAACAGCGTGTTTTGTTACTGACTAGAGAGACAGATTTTTTCCCGCAAAAATAGCTGACCGCTATTTTTCCTTGACGGGCTTGAAATATTCTTCCAAGGGTGACTTGTAAAGGACCAGACATCCTGGAAACCAGCCTGATCTCAGCTCAGCATTGCCGAGTTACACATGTGAGGATTAAACTGTAAGATGATGAGTAAGAATTACCATTTAGCTTGTTCTTCATGTAACGTGCTCAGTTAGTAAGTGTTGTAATTTCCATCATTAAAGGCTTTCCCTTCATCCAGTATTAAATGTATAAGCTTTGAGACTGTTCTCACACACACAATTAAAATGAAATTGTCTCTAGAATGAGCTGATAAGCTCAGCTCAGACAGCAGTCCTGGGCTGTCATTTCTCCATATTGTAGTTCTTCAGTTTCATCCTAACAGCCATCCATTCTGTGCCTAACACAGAATGGTTGGACATAAAGGTTAGCACAGAAAGGAGAAAGGGAAAGAAGTAGAGTTGAACCACTGGGATTATTCCTTCAAAAAGATTTGGTCCAGAGAAAACTTGTATGCCACTGACAAACTCCTCCAGTCTGAATGTAATCCATCATAAATGGCACATGATGCCAGTGAAGATAGGCAGTTGGGGTTGCTAGTGGCTTTTATCCCCAGACCTGCTGTTTTCCAGCTTTAATTAGGTACATAAATGAGGGCCTACCTAAAGACAGACATGGTGCAGGTGGGGACCACAGTGTTGAACTGCTGGTGTACAACTCCCATGAAGTACAGAACTGCCTGGACATATGAAAGCTAATATCAAAACTACCAGGAATGAATCACTTCACATACAATTTCTAAGAAGCTTTAATCCCATGAGACATTTTAATATTTCATCTGTTTATTCAATTCAGGATGAAAACACATGTGAAAACAGTGATTCTGGTCCTCCTTCCATTACTGTTTGTGAGCCAAACACACCTCACAGACATGTCTCATAAAGTTGAAGGAATTTATATTGACTCTGGTGTACTTTCTCCAGGCTTCAGATGACATAGATGAAAGCAAATTTTGGCCCAATGACTGTAAATCTGACCATCTATCAGCAATTAAACATACTTAACATGTGAAAAGACACGTATCACTATCAGCGGTGACTGACACTATTTACTTTTGACACGATAGATCTCTCACCAGGGACTTACAAAGCAAGCAAAACAAATCTTATATTTGCCTTCCAACCCTTTCTTCACTATCTGTGCAGTGCCAGGTCCTCAGCAGCTCCAGTAACCTCTCACTTCACCCCTGTGATATATCATGAGCTCCCTCAGTGAGTCCTGTATTAGATGTTTCTCAGAGCTCACAAATGGTCTAGTCTTTCCAAAGGGTTGTTGTGTCTTTTACTTAAATTTCTTTCATAGTGAACAAAGCAAGGCCAGTCCTCAGGACCCTTTCCTGGATTTCATCCTGTTCTTCCCTTATCTGGCAGTGATCCTAGTGCCAGCTGGATTGAGCTATTATTTCAGTTTCTGGAGCAAGGAGTTAAATGAGCACGTAGGAAATTTATAGTAAGGATGGTATGGAACCATAAATTGGAGGCAGCTATGCAATACTCAGGTGATAGATGCCTCAGCTGACAAAAATCAGTGTAATGCTGTTGACTTGAAATGTTCAGGTGGATGCTCAGGTGAAGTAAAGAAGGATACTTTCACTGTTGTCAATACAGCCACTCAAATTTAAATTAGTCTGCCCAAAGACCACACTTATACTGATCAATTTATGATTGATCGTATCACCTGTAATGTGTAGGTGAACGAAATCTAAGCAGGACTAAGGTGATCAAATGTTTGTCTTAGAATATGTAGACAAAAACTAAGAAGAGCCTCATTTCTGAAGAGCTGAGCACTGTTTTCAGCAAAGAGACTGTATGAAATGGAAGAAATTGCAGGATGAAGAGAATAGTCCTAGTCAATGGGAAAAAAAGTCACTTGCCATTGAAAGGCAGGAAAAAAAATCTGGTCAGAAGCAGGAAAGAAGTTACTATATTGTGTCCAAATAGTCATCTTGAATTCTACATAGAACGACAGCAGCTCTCTACAGACTTGGCACTCGGTGTCACCAGTTCTCAAGTTGATCCTTGCAGCTGTGACCTGCCATCTTCATTCAAGAGTTTCAAAATATGTTCTGAATGGCAGAGGCTCAGCAAGTGTTTCTGCTCTGCTCTATACATTGATTCACTGCTTTCTGAGGAGACGGGACAGTTCCTGTCATGTCACCTTGAAACAACTAAACATGATTTAAGGAGCAGAGGAAATTGAGCCAGTTGTAATAAAAAGCACAATTAGGGTTTGGATTGTTAAACTGGCAACAAAGTCTTGAAATATTTTGATAGAAATAAATTTTATTCAAACTGACCTGTACATAATAGGACAATGTTTTGAAACATAAATAAATTAAAATTTGGTGAAGACAAGTGCAAGGTGATATATTTTGGGAGGCATAATCAGATATAAGGTGGAAATAATGAGAAGTTATGTAGGGCAGTATGAATAGTTCATTAAGGACAACAAGGTGAATACAAGCCAATGATTTTGTACAGATGTGGAGAATAAGCATTATATTTTTATATAATAAAAATATTGTTATCTATTTTTATAGATATGCAGCAAAGAATATAAGCTGACTTCCTGTCTTTCTCAACTTTATATTACAACATGACAGCAGAACTGAAAGGGAATACTTTTTGAAAGCCTTAACAGGATCACATGCAAACAGAAAATGTATCTAATTGAAAACTATTAACACAAACCGCAGACTTTAACACCAGTTTTGTAAGAGACAACAAGTGGGTGAGAGCAGGGGCAGTGTACAGGTACAGACATAAATACTCGTGATAGTAAGTGGGGTCAGGGACCAAATTTGAGGTGTGATGGCTTTGGCAATACCACACTCAAGGCAAAACAAGGGGGTTCTAGACAGTTAATGTTGCTAAGGAACCAAAGTCTCATACCTGCATCAGGCTACCTAACTAACACATTCCTGTTTTACAAACTACATCTGAATCAATTTCTCATGAGCTGATCTGTTAGTTATAGCCAAAAGAAACATCTGAATTACTACCATGACCAGAAGACCCCTGAACTTGTTTTATTTCCCTTCATCTACCCTCTTTTCACTTCCTCTGTCTTTCTGGGGGTTTTTTATTATTTTTTTTTTTAAATAAGATATCTTCACTCGAGCATTGTTGACATGTAAAAAATGTCAGTGTGTGAAGGGAGAGTCCATGGGGGAGTCATATCCTATAGAGTACTTTCTCTTATTGCCAACTTTTATGTAGGACACAGTGTTAAAATAAAAATGTAACAGCTCTCCTGTCGAAGCTCATGCTGGTAACCACGGCCTGTTAAAGAAGGCAAGCAGCTATCAGAAAAGTATCTAAGTCTTTATGGGCAAATAGTTGAAAGCACAAAGCCTGCACTTCATGAAGGTTTTGGGTTTTTTTCAGTAAGTTGGTGCTTTTTCTTCATGTGAAAAGAGAAATCAATATTCTTGGTTGAAAACAGTTTAGAAAGTCAAGCCTGAACTTTAAAGTAGTTACCTGTACCAAAATTTGTGTCTTGATTTCTAATTAAGAACTTCAATCTTTAGTGTTAAGTGCCACACAACTGATCTGTTTCATGGAACCAAAGAATTTGTCAAATGGGTATTAGGAGCAAAGTTGTGTTAAGTTTTATGTGTAACATAAATGTGCTTCTCTATCAATAGGTAGAAGTTGTTTTTCTCACTCATGTCTTACAGCTTCTACTATGTGTGAGAGCTACTTTCCCTACCCGCTGAAAATGTATACCACTTATTTAGAGGTTACCAGCACTAAAAAAGTCCTTGAAAAAACAGGAGTTTGAGAAAAATATCGGATACTAGAATCATAGTATCATAGAATCATTTAGGTTGGAAAAGACCTTCAAGACCATCAGGTCCAACCTGTGACCATACACCATCCACCACCTTGTCAACCAGACCATGGCACTTAGTGCCATGGCCTGTCCTTTATAGACCACTTCCAGGGATGGTGACTCCACCACCTCCCTGGGAAGTCCATTCCAATGCTTGACAATCCTTTCAGTGAAGACATTCTTCCTGATGCCCAATCTTAACCTCCCTTGAACCAGCTTGGGGTTATTTCCTGTTGTCTTGCTGCAAGTTGCTTGGAGAAGAGACTGACCCCCACCAGGCCACAATCTCCTTTCAGGTATTGATGGAGAGTGTGAGAAGGTCTCTCTCCTCTGACCCTCTTCTTCTCCATGCTCAACACCTCCAGCTCTCTCAGTCACTCCTTATATGAGTGTTTTTTATTTATTTTTTTTTTAATTTACATACCTTTATTTATTTTATATATTCTATATATTATATACCTTTTATCTGTTTACTTATTTAAATATTGTCTTTTATATAGATTTTGGAATTAAAAAATTGAGTAAATTTCTGATATATTCTCAAGCTTCTTTCCCCAAATGTGAAACCATCTTGCCTGGCTTTTCTACTCATGCCCACACGCCTCTATTTCCTGCTGAACCTCTCACGTCATCTTGTATTTCGAGGAGCTCAGACTTACAGAATCATAAAATGGTTTGAATTTAAAGGGACCTTACAGATCCTCTAGTTTCTATCCCCCTGCCATGGGCACGGACACCTTCCACTAGACCAGTTTATTTGAAGCCCAGTCCAACCTGGCCTTGGACACCCACAGAGATGAGGAAAAAAAAAAATCAGTCACTCTGAAACTCACTCATGGCAGCTGACATCACCAATCTCCCCCTAGATGTTAATGTAGTGTGGGTTTTGTGTCCTTAGTTCAGAGGTTTCCAAAATATTGGCCACGACTTTTTTTCTTGGCTCACAGAAAAATGTTAAGAAAACATATGTTTGATTGTATGTGATATAAGCAATTAATAACAACAGTAAGAAAAGTCAGAAGCCAAATCATATTTCCAGCTGTGCACAATTTATTGCTTGCATATTTCTCTTCATGAACCTTATTATACAGAAATATATGGCACAATATTATTTGCTTTTCTATAGTCTGCACTCTGCACACAGGTATCTCAGTGCACACTTCTTCCTTAGAAAATTGGAATGAAATATTTCCGTGTTCTTGAGATCCTTGACATGTAATAATCCAGTGAGGCAAGATTTAGGCTGCTGTTTTCTGTTAACACGTACAATAAAAGAAATAAAATGATCCTTGTGCATGTTTCCTACGTATAAACTCCTTGTAGATATTATTGAACCGGCAATCGGTTCTCCAATCTTCTATTAAAATATCAATAGTATTTTTTAGAGCTTAAATTGAGCAGTGATTTTATTTAAGGCTGCACCTAGACACCACTTTTCTTCGAAGAAATCTCTTGTTGTTGCTAAAAATGAAAGCCATTCAAACGAGTGTGATTGAAACAGGGACAGGGAAAGGGAAAAAAATCAATAGAACATTTTCCAGGGTACTATATCTGCTTTTGAAAAGAGACCATTAATAACATGCTTACAGTAAAAGCAGCTGCTTGTTCAAAGTGCATTCAAGGGTAAGCTGAAAGGATGGTTCTCTCCACACAGCCTCCCCAGAGAGAGAGTTTGTAAAGATTTCAAAACCCAACTTCAGGCTATGAACAAAAACCTTCCCTAGGAATTTTAAATATTCTTATCTGATGTTAGATTGTGGGACTGAAATGCCTCAATTTTTGCTCCTTATGAAGGGCAACATGGGTCAGTGAATGTGAATTGGTCTAAAAACTGTTTTACAGACAAAACACTGCAGGTTGTAATCATACCTCGGAGGACAGCAGGTGCCATGCTAATGCCAGCTGGTGCAACCCTCAGCAGTGATGGTCAGCACTGTGGGACATGAAAAAATGTCAATCACTCTGAGATTCACTCATGGCAGTCGACATCCCTTCAGCTGAAACAGAGGGCTGGATCGGAACATTCAAGAAATTTTAGAGAATCATAGAATATCCCGAGTTGGAAGGAGCCCACAAGGATCATCGAGTCCAGCTCCTGAACCTGCACGGGACAGCCTCAACAATCTCAACACATGCCTGAGAGCCTTTTCCAAGTGCTTCTTGAGCTCTGTCAGCCTTGGTGCTCTGACCACTGCCCCGGGGAGCCTGTTCAGTGCCCAACCACCCTCTGGGGGAAGAAGCTTTTGCTAGTATCCACCCTAAACCTCCCCTAAACAGCTTCATGCCATTCCTTTGGGTCACTGATCACTAGAGAGAAGATTGACACCTGCCCTCCATTTCTCATTGTGAAAAACTGTAGACTACAATGAGGTCTTCCCACAGTATCTTCTCTAGTATATACTTAAAGTATCATAAAACGAATTAAAGATAAGTATTGGGACAGGACTGAATCTTGGATCACCACCTAACTTGCTTCTAGTGTCATTTCATGTGCTTAAAGGCATGCAATGATTTAGAATATGTAAAAGATCACCAATGCAGTTCACATGTAAGAGAACTGGTTTAACAGAGCTTAGTGCTTTTGGGTGCAGTTTTGTAATCTCACTTGTTTTGTCCAGATAGTTCAAGCAGATCTGTATGTTTTCAGGAACATTAGGACAAAATATAAAGCACACCTATAGCAAGGAGCATACCATGAGGGTGGTGAAGACCTGACCTCATACAAGTAATAGCTGGCTGATTGTAAGTTACACAATATGCACTTAACTGTCTGTGGAAATAATATTGTCTGTTGAAGAGCCTATAAACTTCCAACGTATGAATGTTCTTTTCTTTGTTATACTGCTGATTAATCTAGATCTGCCCAATCTTCTTTATCCTGGTTCCAGAATTTGGGTAGCCGGAGAACCCTTGGTACCTCTAACGCAAGCCACTAAGGCCAAGATTTCTCTCATCTCACTCTATTTAGGTCCCCAACAGCTATTGCTAAATTAAGATCCTACTTGTCTTTGGTATTCCAGAACAACTGAAGAGTGAATGAACAAATCATGTGTTGAATTGATTACCAAATTCTACACTCTGTAAGGTTTTGATCCGAGATGTCTGTAGGGAATACCAGACTAAGGAGTTACATCTGTGCCTTTCTCCTTTTGGCTGCTTCTTCTTACTCTCACATTGCAGGAAGAAACATATCTGGGTTAAAAATCTTCAATACTACAAACAACAACAAAACAAAAACAAGAAATATGCCTTCAGAACCAGAGGGAAAAAGCTCAGCTTCCTGATCCACCTAGCACACAGATACTGTCAATAATCAGTTTATATCAAAGGAGCAAAAAGCAATATGGAAAGGACATGGTTCTATCTGACCCTGGTTTGTCCCCTAAAGCTCCTGCATTATGAAATCACAACAGTAAACTAGCAGGAAATTCCAAGACATACACTACAATGGCATATATTGCTCTAAAAACAGGGACTATCACCAAAACATTCAGTCAATCCTTAATGCTGTTCTTCCTGGTCTCAGCCTGGCTGACTACAATTCCATAGATGTAAAACAATAAAAATTTGGCATCCTCTATGGCAATGGATTTGTGTGGGCACTCAGCATGCCAGATCTCACTGATTTTTATATCTCTGAGTTTCTATTCTAAGGAGAAGTTACTCGTATAATCTGCTGGGTTGATAGACGAGGAGCTGGCGTTATTGCAACAGGCTGTCCACAGCTCCTTTTCATCATAGTTATAGCTATGGACTAGCAGGAGCCCCTCTGGAAATGAATGTTGAAAATCACAATGGCACTTTGTACTGCGCAGTTTTATTTAGGGAAATACTATTCAAGACAGAAAATAAGGAGCTCCCGCAGAAAAAGAAATAAACAACTGGATACTTTAATATGATAGTTTCAACAAAGTTCCATATTGTTTTCAATAATAGTTGTGATGGCACTTTTATATTCTAGATTTTACTTTCGTTTGCTTCAATTTTGCCTAGAGATTAATATGAGATGTTCATTTCAAAGAGAGAGATAGCCATGGTGATTAAAATCTCTTTTGTTATGTGCAAGCAGAAGAAGCAGTTATTAATACTGAGAAATATATTATGCATGTCTCCCCTTTCCTCTGAGCTCTCATGAAAGACACTCCTATAAAAAAAAAAAGGCTTTTCTGGAACACCATTATGATTAATTTCTATTTTTTGTCACTAGCTTCAAAAATCGTAAGTTTTCTAAAGCATTTCTGGTGGTCATTTCTGCTCCTGTAGGAAAGAAAAAACCCTGAAAAAAAGTTGATATCAGTTAAGGATGTAGGGTCAGACCTTATATCTGGGGACAGTGTTTTGGCTGACTCAAAATGCCTACCTAACCCTCATTAACATTTAAAAAATAATATTTATTCTATGAACTTCATTCTCCCTACTTAGTAAGGGAAGTGCTGCTATTCCTATTTCGCAAGAGGAGGCTGAGGGATTGAATTATTTAATGGTTATTCAAGGAAGAGAGGGAGACTGAAATTTTCAACTGCTCGTTAAATATGTCCACCCTGTCTGATTTTCAAGTGGTCTTATGCACTGAGGAACCCTGAAAATCTTACCACCTTTTTTAATGAACGAACAGGATATTAATTTGATTAAAAAAACCCCCCGAAACCTGCTGAGATCCATAAGAGTTTATTTTTCATTCATGACAGAGATTTTTCAGTTCAGCCCTTAAATTATACCCACCAACCATTCGGTTGCTGCTGTTGATGGTAACTGCATATATCAACCCTATGGACTAAACAACCATTTTGTGCATCTAATACAAGTTATCTTAAATGAGGGTACACCAGAACTAACAAGGTTTCTATTTTGAGGTGAATTTTGACTATTTGGATTTTGGACATGACTCAAATTGAGTTTTAGACATTGAGGGAACTGTCCAGGACTTGCAGCCTCAGTGAGTTTATGCCACAGAATTCGAGAATCATGGAATTGTTTGGGTTGGAGACCTCAGAGACAATCTCATTTCCCTCCCCTGCCATGGGCAGGACACCTTACACTAGACCAGGTTGCTCCAAGCCCCATCCAACCTGGCCTTGGACACTTCCAGGGATGGAGTATCCACAGCTTCTCTGGGCAACCTGTGCCAGGGACTCACCACCCTCATAGGCAAGAATTTCTTCCTGCTTAGTTTATGACTTGACTTCATGATTAGAAACTTACAAAGACCCTTCAGGGCTTCAGGGTATTTTTAACAGACTAGCAGAGAATACCAGAAAGTAGGATTCCCCTTTTTGTGTCTCTCCACCAAGTGTTTGCCCTGTGTCTGAGAGAAGCAACACATGAGATACAGCAAAAGCATTACAAATCCAAAAGCTTTCAGATAAAGAACCTTGAATCTCAATAAAAAATTATTAATACAGGTTTATTTAGTAAAAAATTTATAGAATCATGGGATCTTGTAAGTAAGAAAAGCCCTCCAAGATTATTGACCTCCAATCATTAACCCAGCACTGCCATCCCCGCCACTAAACCACGTCCCCAGTTGCCACATCTACATGTTTTTTGAATACTTCCAGGGAAGTGTTCCATTAATTTGGAAGCTCCATTTATTGCCAGGAATCAAACAGAAGGGAAGACACTTACTGTAATCACACTCTTCTGTACTTAGCTATATTAATTAACTGAGAAATATATAAATTGTGAAAGTAATACTTTGTTTTTACTGGAATGGTCATTCTGCAGAAAAAAAAAAAAAAGCCAACAAAACCAAACAAGTACAAGGCAGGCAGTGGGGCTGTGAACAAGGTCAGAATATGGAATGAGAAGAAAAGCTGCAGGGTTGGGATGTAAGGAAATAAAAAAAAATATGGGAACATTCTTTAGGAAGGATGTTGCCTGGTAGAGCATACGGGGGAAAAAGAGAATTTGATTAACTTAAAGCATAAGAAAAAGTAAGGAAAACTGGTGATGGTAATGTGAGAAGAGATTTAGTAGAGGAAAGAAGGGGTTAAGAGAAGAGGGGGTAAAACAGGAAAAAGAGCAGAAGACAGAAATCTTCTCTGTTCTTGCTAGGCATGGGCACATCCCAGCTGCTGTAATTAGTGTTCAGCAGTAACCACAACTGGGTACGTGTGTCATCCATATCACATCTGAATGGAACTAAACTACTTCACTGATGATGTGTCCAGACAACTTTTCTTGAATGGAGTGTGATGTGTGTTCAACACATGAATTGCACAAACCATACAGTTTTCTTTGTCTGTTGGATGAGTTTGGATTTCTCCAGTTACTGCCTGATGAATTGAATGCATCATTCTCAGTTTAAAATCGCTTTATCTCACCAGGTTATTAAAAGAAGACAGAACTTCAGTACACAGCAATCAGGATGCACATGGTAACATTCATCAAGTTAGTCTCATTTAATTACTCCAGTGCTTCTTAAAGTAGACTCCAGCTATTTCCATGCACGTGCGTGTTTTAAAAATTAAAACAATAACAACTGCAACCAAAATCCTCAGTGGTGAAAACTTCTCCATGTGAAAATTAATCAGGTTTATTTAATTGTGATATAATTCTTCTCTAGTCTCAATCCCTTTGTGAGGACATTGAGGAATACTACTACCTGCCGCAGATTAATTATGCAAAGTTTTCTCAGTTAAACACGTATGAATGTACATGTGGCATGTTTGTATGCATGATCCTATGAGGGAGAATTATTCAGGAGCATCGATTGAAAAAGCAGAAAGTCTTTCTCCTTTAGCAAATTTCAGTGGCTCTGATATTACAGAACAGAACATTGCTGTTGATATCAACAGTGAGTCTGAAGGATAGAACAAAAAAAGGTCTAGAAAAGAGTAGGTAGTTCCGCATAGAAGAAGGAAATGGGCAACAAGTTAGCCTTTTCATAACACAACTTGTCAAACAGGAAAATGTCCTGGGGGAAAAAAAAACAACAAACAAACCAAAGTCCCACTAACGTTTAGGAAAATGCATTATTCTGTTTAGATCTATTAGGAAAAGACAGTGCTCACTGCTTTGAAACATAAGGAAAAAAGTGGTGTTGTATAAATAGATGGAATGGGTCAATTAAATACCCTCTCTTTAATTCATCCTTCTGAACAGTCACGTGAAAATTTGGAAATATATTAGAAGAAGCAACAGCAAACCCCACACAGTAAAATTTAACCTTCTTTGTTAACACATTGCACAGTCTTCCTGCAGTATAAACATTAAGGACTTTAAAAAACCCTGAATAATTCTCTACCATATTCCCTATACCTTTGGCTTGGGAGCATAATGAATTAAAGATACCGTATAATTTAGGTCGCTTGAGCTTTTCTCTCTGTATGTAACCCTTTCCAATAAACTCCCTGGTTCTGCACTTCAAATTCTAGTTAAATTACTTTTGTCTATCAATCAGTATGACACTTGCATTAGAATATCACCAGACACACCATGTTGTCAAACACCATCTTTGCAGGCAGCTTGAAAAAGTGCAGCTTAGCTTCATTAATCTCATATAAGAACACTTGACACTAAATCATCTTTATTACCTAGTACAAAGATTTTGTACCTAACAAGTAGTGAATTTGCATGGATAATTGCTTGGATTACTTCACAAACAGTGACATTTTCCTTGTATTTCCAAAAACTTCACATTGCTCTACCATACACAAAAAAGCTTACATTTACCTAGACATATAGTTAACCTTTTCATTTTAAATTTTCAGTGGTGAGATGCCTGTAAATGAGAGCTTGGTCCCAGTCAAGTCCATTCCTCAACTACAGTCATCTCCATATTTCCATGCGTGATATTTCATAGAATCACAGAATTATTCAGGTTGGAAGGGGCTTTAAACTTCGTCTTGTTCCACCCCCTGCCATGGGCAGGGGCATCTTCTGCTATCCCAGGTTGCTCCAAGCCCCGTCCAACCTGGCCTTGAACACTTCCAGGGATGGGGCAACCACAGCTTCTCTGGGTAACCTGTGCCATGGACTCACCACTCTCACAGCCAAGAACTTCCTTACATCTAATTCAAATCTCTCCTATTTTAGTTTAAAACTATTTCCTCTTGTATTATCACTATTTGCCCACGTAAAATGAGTTTTACCTCCTTTTTTTTTTTTTTTTTTTTTTTTACAAACTACCTTCAAATATCCTCTCTCAAGTATTTTCTCAGCATGGGAGCATTCCTACAGGTTGCTTTCAGGTTGTATCTCTCCCCATACATGAAAGATTGGATTTAGAAATCTGGGTGTGATCGTTTCTGGCTAGGGTAGGAATTAAAGAGGTAGAAGATGTAAGTTTTGGTCATACAAACCCACGTGGAAATAACCTGCTCCAGACGTAGCTGCCTGAT